AAAGAAAACAGTTGCTAGCAATGGATAAGAATAAGTAACAAGATTAAAGTAATCTCTGACATATCGATGGAAAAGAAGAACATTAAGATCAAGATAGCTTTGAACCAGTTGATAGAAAAAGCTGAAACAGAAAGTTTGAGAAACAGTAAGCAGAAGCTTAAAGGTCTAATAATAGTTGAAGTGTTAAAAAAAGCTGAAACAGAAAGTTTGAGAGACAGTGAGCAGAAGCTTGAAGGTCTAATGATAGTTGAAGGGTTAGAAATAGAAATAATTAAGAGACAGAAATTTAACAAGAGTGTTAAACAAAAAATTTTAAAGATGCTGAGAGGAAACCTATTAAGAAACAAAGACAAATTTATTATATATACGGATGGTGCTACAAATACAAAGACCAAAGAAGAAGCACAAGATAGCAGTATGGGGATAGGATGGGTCCAAACAAATGAAACACAAAAGTGGTCAGAAGAAGAAACATCATTAGATCTAGAAGGATGGAATAGCAGAATTAGTAACAATATGGACAGCAATTTTAACAATACTAAGAGGAAAACAAGTAGAAATATACACAGACAGTAATGCTGTGATTAAAAACATTAGCAGAGGTTTAGAGCAAATAGATAGAATGAAAATTCTTAAGAAGAAAAACATAATATAGATAATGAAGATTATAGATCTTATTAATATAAAGAATATACAAATAGAGTTAGTGAAAATTAAAAGCCATAGCAAAGACAAATGGAATGACAAAGCTGATAGCTTTGCAAAGAAGAGAACAATAAGTGAGAAAGTAATACAAGTAGAGAAAGTTAGTTGTGAAGAGATAGAATACTATCTAGAGTAGAAAAACAAATGAACTAACATACCTGCAAGATTGTTATGCAAATTGATAACAAATACAAGATTAGGAGCAGAATAGAAAGAAACAAATGCAATCAAAAAGTTAGAATCAAAAACAGAAGTCATGTTCTATGACTGGACACAATTCTGAAAAAGACTAAAAATGACTAAAGGAGTGTATTGTACAACAAGAAGAAGTAGTACAAGAAGATGTGCATTTATAAAGTATATGATAGATAAACTTCTGACCTTAGAAGAACTTAATAGAAGAAGATCAAATATATATGCAACAACAGAGTGCCAAGTATGTCAAGATAAAATTAAAAAAACACAGTCATATCTAGTATCATGCAAAGGATAGCAGAGCCTGTAGAAATGAATCCAAAAAGTAACTATCGCAACAGCCTGGAAAGGGTTAAAGAAAGAAGAAAAAATTTACATCCCACTACATATACTATATATAGCACTCTTTGAAGAAAGTGAAGCAGAAGAGATAGAGATAAGAGAAACATTAATCAAAGGCCTGATTTCAAAAAAAACACAAGACAGTCTAACACAGCTTCTAAATACAAAGGCAAAACAGAAGTTTGTAGAAACAGTGACAAAGACAGCATAGGACACATTCTATGAACAAGTCTGGAGAATACAGTACGAAAAGATCAATGAATGGAAAAAGAAAGAAGGCATAATGACCAAAATGAAGAAAAAAGAAGTTAGAAAGAAAAATCCAAAAAAGAAAAAAAAGGCAAATCAGTGAAAGATTGAAGAAGAAAAGAAACAAGCAAAAGAGAAAAAGATAGAATTAATAAAAAAACTAGAAAGACAATGTTGGGACTTGTTGTGGAAGGGAGAAGACTCTTTCACTATGGACTTTAAGTAATCAGACAAGTAGCCTACTTCTGTTAGAAGTAGTGCAGCAAGTTGCACTTAGGTACCCTATGGGTGGTCAGGTAATGCTAGACTTAGTTGTTAGATAAATCTATGTAATTGCAAAAGTAATTTCAAGAATCTTAATAAAGTACTAGTGTGACTGCTTAAGTTAAAAAAAAAAATAAAATAAAATAAAATTATTGAAAAGTTTAGAATTTTTTCAATTTTACTAATTAATTTTATTTTTACTTTTTAAATAATCTAATACTATATATAAACTTATATTAGAAACATATATTATTATTTTAAATTTATTAATTTTTTAAAAAAATATCAAATTTTACTAAATTTTAAATTTTAATCAAAAATTCAAAATTAGTATTATGTTTGTAAAATTAATAAATATATATTAATAATATACTAATTAATGTAAAATTATGTGTAAAATCATGTTACTTATATTATCAACATAAAATTATTTAATAAAATATTGAATATCATAAGATTTTTTATAATTTTATTAACAAAATTATTGAAAATTGAAAATTATTAAAATTTTACTAATTAATTCTATCTTTATGCTCTAATTAATCTGATTTTACATATAAAATTATATTAAAAATACATATTATTATTTTATTTTATCAAATTTTACTAAATTATATTAAATTTTATAAATTTTAGATTTTTGATCAAATAATCTTTCTAAAACATTATCTGGACATGAGATTAAAATAAATTAAGACCTAGCTCTGAAGCATTGCCCAGGTCTAGGAGCTAGAAAACTATAATTTAATTACTACATTATTTTTAAACTAATATTGAATTTATAAATTAAAATAACTACAAAATCTGAAATCTAAAACACTTAGGATCTAGCCCCGAAGCATCGCCCGGGCCTGAGAGCTAGTTATATTATTATTTACAAATTCTTCAAACTTTAATTACTTTAATTGAAGCTATCTCAATTAACTACTTAACTAAATTTGATAATTTTGTTTATTTGATTTCTACAGAAGTGGGCTACCATTTTATTAGTAAAATTTTGGATCATTTTGAGAGAAGTTTACCAGTTCCGGCCTGGATTGTGGTCGATCTGCTGAATTTTTGTTGCTCTACTAATCTATTCTTTGATTATCAAATGTGCTGCTCGTCGTCCGAGGCAAGGAAACACATGGTTGAATGTTTTAATTATTGATAACAAGTTTATGAAAAGAACAAGAATGGACGTTCGAATTGAGTTCTTGTGATTTATCATCGAAAACGAAGATTAGTCAATTAATTATAAACTGGAAAAAATCAAAATATTAATAAAGTTGCAACTATGCTAACATAAAAAACAGGATCAATATTAAGATGATATCGATATTCAATTTCTGTTCTTCATAAATAAAATGACCAATTAAAATTATTTTTTATTTCAACTAGCCAATAAAATGGATAGATTTTTTTTTTTTTAAAAAAAAAAAACCCCCCGCAGTTAAGCGTACTAAATGATTAGATTTTAAATCAATAACGTTAAGAACCTTTTTGGGGGATCAAAGGACATTAATAAATTGGTCTTATTAGAGACTGGACCATTCCTACGATTCGTTAACTTAAAAGCAAGATTTTTTTCTAGACATGATAAGCAACCAATCAATTACGTGGAATGGACGGCACATGGAAAACTAGTTTATAGTATGAACGTATGTACAAAAATTAAACCAACCACTTTTTGATAAATATTTTTCGATTGAACTATTAAACTGTATTATAAAATCGAATATTTGACTTCTCTTACACAGCCCTGTACGATACGACTGCATAATCATTTATGCTCACGTGTTTTAATTAAGGATCGACGCTAATGCCAATAACGTAATCACAAAATCTGGATTATTACGCTACGGACAATAAATGTAATAAAACATTGTTACATTGAATCGATAGTAAACAAGTCTTTAAGAACATGATGTTCTACGTGGAAATTACAAGAGACTGATCTATCATAATAAACCGATGTAATTACTTGTAGAAATCAAGAGTACAGAAAAATCAGAAGCCAATATTAACATTAAACTTTGAATGACAATGAGCGATTATAATTAAGAAATGGCTTAGTTAATTTGCGACTTAGCCACCTTTAAGTGAATTAAATTAGGGAAATCTGTATAAAACATAATCATGGCTTAGATCATCATACAAAATTGTTTTTACCTGTGATCAGCAAATTTCACGTATACTCTGGGAATCAGAAATCTAAAATGAATGCAAACACATGATTGGTTGGAAATAATTTTTAACCAATCATGTATTTGCTTTATTTTGGATTTCTGATTCCCGGTGTGATATGTGATCAAAGTAATTTGAAAAGCGCAATAAAATCAATGCATTCATTGACTAAGCATAGAAATTTACACTCGTGCTCGGCTTAGTATCAACTAGAAAAGATAATTCATAGATACCATTATGTGAGGCTTATCATCCATAATTATTTTAATAAAGAAAAAACTTGATCAGGTGATGTTATTGGGAATTAAGAATACAAATACGTTTACATGAGTATTATATCATAAACCGAATTTTCTTTATCTAATTTATCTAATAGATATGTGACTATAATTACAAGACAGTCAGATATCTATAGCAAATATCGATAACATATATCGATATAGCATATATATAGAGCATATCTGTAGCATTAAATAGCATTAATATGGGTTTTCCTAATTCAACTATCATTATGTAACTCATAGCCACACATGCGTATTATTCATTGTCAGCAATATCAAAAATCTTAATAATAAAATCTGGAATATTATTTTAATGAATTTTCTTTCTTAAACACGTTTAATTATAAAAAAAAAAAGATATTGCTAAACCGTGCATTAATATCAAATATCTATTTAAGGAACATTTAGATCTCGTAATATTCATACCTACTATTATTATTTCTTCAGATCAATTTACAGATCTGCCAAGCCAGAAGTTAATTTTTATAGAAATATTGAATCATTGTCATAATTCATTTCTTGATGATTGTATTAGAATTTTTTTACTTTTGACAATGAAGCAAGTACAATCAATTATTTGAGGCTGTGATTAGATTAGATGTATGTTAGAAAAAATTTTAGATACTATTATAGAACGAAATAGATGTCTTAAAGACTTCTATCAACATTTATGACCACGAAAAAGTATATAAATCCCTTCGATCTCCCTTCCAATTTCTTCACTTCTCTCAAGTAAAAACAATAAAACAAAAAAAAACAAATAAAACAATAAACCAATAAACCAATTAAATAGTCATAATGAAGTATCTTTCCTTAGTAGCCGTCCTCTTCTTAGCCGCCGCTGCAGTCGCCAGACCTGCTCCCCATAATGGTTTATAATTTTAAAATTTTTTGCAATTTTGTTACTAATGCCTTGCTAGCTTTAATTTAACTCTATTTTCAAATACATTATTAGACAAACGTGTTGCTGTACCTGAACAGGGTATGTAATTTTTTTTTCCTTTTTCTTGTCAAGATTTTATTTAACATTCAATAATTTTTCTTTCTCTGTTTCTTTAGAAAAAAAGCGTAATGCCTTACTCCGTATGTAATTTTTATCATTCTTTTGCAATATTAAATTCGATGCGGTATAATTCTAAGGATTATTTTTATTATTCATTAGACAAGCGTGCTCCTAAGCAACGTATGAAAATCTTTATTTCAAACATTGTTATTCGAATTTTAATTACTAATATAATCTTTATTATTAATTAGACAAGAAACGCAGTGCTCTAAGTACGTAATTTTTATCCTCTCGATTGGTTTTTATTTAATTATTATTAATCTCCCGTTTCTTCTCTCAGAGAAGCGTGATGATTACGAAGAATACTATGGTGAATACGACGACGAATACTACACCTACTACGGTGACGAGGACGACTACTATACCTCCTACTACGGTGACGAGGACGACTACTACACCTCCTACTACGGTGACGAGGACGACTACTACACCTACTACGGTGACGAGGACGAATACTACACCTCCTACTACGGTGACGAGGACGACTACTACACCTCCTACTACGGTGACGAGGACGACTACTACACCTCCTACTACGGTGACGAGGACGACTACTACACCTCCTACTACGATGACAGCGACTACTATAAAGAAAGCTACAAGCGAAGTGCCATGCCACGCCACGGTATGCAATTTTCTAACGGAATTTTTGTGATCTTTTTTTTTTGGTCTACCTTTTTTTTTTAATGACTTCAAACTTTCCAATTTATTAGCCAAACGTGCTCCTAAACCAGTTCATAGTATGCAACTTTCAATCACATGAATTTGTGTTTCTGTTTGATCTATTTATTAATAACTTTTTTTTCAGATAAACGTGCTGCCAAACCTGCAAGGAAATGTGAGAATTTGCTTCTTTTTTAAAATTCTGATTCAGTTTCGATACTAATTCTTTTTTTTTTTTTTTTGCCAGAAATTTGGTCATAGTCTAGTCGGACTTTATTTATTTGTTACCACTTTAAATTTCGAAGAGTCCAAACATGTAAATAATTTTTTAAAAAATTTGCTCATTTTCATTATATAGAATTCATTTTCATTTTATAAAAACAAAAAAAACAAAAAAACACAAAAGCAAAAAAAAAATGTATATAGCCATCATCTTTTTGCAATTATCGGTTCTTTTTAGTCCTTTGTGAATATGTAGCCCTCCTGTTGCCCACCAAAAAAAAACACCCTTTGCTCTTTGCCCTCTTTTATCCCCTTGAATACTGTACTGTACTGTTTATTAGCCCACATATCTGGTATTAACATTCTTCATTTTTTTCATTTTCACTTTCATTTTTTCATTTCATTTTTCATTTTTCAATATCATTTGTTTTTATTTTTTCATATTCTCTTCAATAAACAATCTAAGTGGTTTAAAAAAAAAATGCTTTTTTTCGTGTGTTTCAAATGTTTAAAATTTGGCCAACAACCGTAAATAAATCCATACATTTTATGGCTTCAATGAAGTTCTTGGTATAAAAAGTTTTAATAAAAGTGACCTCTTTCATAATGAAATGGCTGTTTTCAGTTAATAATTGCTTTCAAAGATTCGCCTAAATTTTATACTGATTTTATTTACTCTTCTATCTCGAATGACTTGTACCAGAAATGATTCAATTTTTATGGCTTTTTTAAATAATAGTATATGCTTTATATATATATATACTTAAATAAATTCATGTTTATATGCTATGTTATGAGTATTTTTATTTTTATATATACTTAATATAAAATTCAGTATTCATACATATATATATATACTTAATATTAAATTCATTTTTAAATTCATTACATTGGTGCCTCTAGACAATTTTTAAAAGCACTAGCGTAACCAACAGTTAGGGGATGGTAAAAGTCTTGTTCGGTTCTGTTTTATATAAATTGAGGTTCAGAACAGTTTCAAAACTAGGGATGGGATCAGTCCTGAAAAAGACCGAATAAAGACCAGTCTTATGGTTAACTGGTCTTCGGTCTTGAAACCAGTCCTCATAAATAATTAAAATATCTAATTAAAAAATATGTTACATAATCTTTTATTTTCAATTATCAACGTCAGATGATTTGATTTTCTTCACTAGCTAGTGGATATCTGACTAATCTACTGTATAAATGCAAATTGCGAATATCTGCTCATAAAATATTCAACTAAATCCGTTGAATCAATTGAAATATTAAAAAATATTATTACGCATATAAATTAAATATACAGTCATCCTCCTCCACAATCACCTATGAATCATACCCTCTTTATAGGTAGTGTTCCGAGTTGTTAAAAAAAATTCTTCCCATCGATTAGTTGCCAACTATAGTTGTAGCTAATCAACTTTTCCTATCATGTGACTAAATTTAATCAACTAGTTTGGATCAAAATTTTCCAAATCGATTAGTTGGAAAGTTGTCAACTAGTTGGTTTTTCAACTAACGATTTGGATCCCTAACCTCATGTGTAACAATTTTTGGGAAAATTAATCGAATGACCAGTTTGCTTATTTTTAGGTTTAAATACGTAACACGCGATCACATCGATTATAGTTGGCAACTAATCGATTAGCAAATTTTTACAAACTCGGAACACTACATACATACTTAATTGACAATTCACGAAAGAAGGAGAATTTGTATTAATAAAATCTATAACGTTATATATAAAATATAGAAATCAGCATTCCTGACTATTTGAAGTTAAATTTTTATTAATCTAACATCTTTTGGTCATCTAATGAAAGTTGTAGAGCTAGTTTTTGCGATTCTAATGATAGTAAGATCGGTAAAATTAGTTAAATATGTAGAAAGTTACAAGTAGTTTAAGTTTAATTTTTTCTATGAACTATAGGAATCGTGATTCCTGTATTAATATATTTTATTATAAAAATCTCCCCCGGTTTTTATTCTCTTTCTATCGTGAATTGCCAATTAAGTTAAAAAATGTCTGGTCAGGAGCCACCGAAGATACCTCAACTAGTAGGAGTGTTTCAAAACGTAAAGATCAAAAGTGCACAAAATGATTCAGATAATCAAGAGTTTCTACCATCTGAATTGAAGGATTTATACAAAAAACTAAATCCAAGAATGAAGAGAGAATATAATGGGTTTTCAAATGAAGGAAAAATTTCTTTCTTAAAGGCGATTAAGTCAGAACGTGAAAAAAGTGTAAGTTTACTTAAAAGTCATATTTTTCGTTGATTGTTTTTTATTTATTTGTTTATTTATATTAAATCGGTGTTAGCTTTTTCACCGATATTTCTTTCCATATCTTTAGGAACTTGAAATAAGTTCAATATTCAATGTGATTTGCATACTCATTACTGTTGTGATCACTGTCACTGCAAAATATTTAATGATGAAAATTCTACTACGTATCATTTTTATTGTTATTCTGAATAATGTTATCTTCGGGACCCAACTTTTTTATTTTACTTTTAAAATTGTTGAGAAAAGCTTTGTTTTTCAATAAATATCATGTAATTATAGTATTTCCAACATTTATTGGCAATATTTCTAGGAATGTTTGCTATTTCACCAGCCATAACGATTTCATGGGTATGGATTGATGTTCCAATTTCAACCCTTTTTTTTGAAATACAAATAAGTTACTCATAAAGGCCATTACAGTAATGTTAATTCATGCTATTTTTTTTTTTAATAATGTAATAATAATTCATTTGCACACGAAGAAAAACATCAATATGATCCGGCGTATAAAAATTTGCACTTCAAAGAAAAATTTTTCTCATTAATTAAATCGTATAAAAATTCTTGAACAAACGACTATCAAAATTGCGCCGAAATTTTTCTTAATTTACTGGAATCAAAACCAATGGTCATTAATAGCAAACATAGCTAGCGAAAATCGCCAGTAAAATTAGCATACTAAAATTTATTATGAATTTATATTTTAAAAATCTGCTTATAATTTGAGAATGAACGCTTTACATCTACACTCAAAAGAGGAATCTAAATAAAAGCTTTAATTAGTTCAACATTAATAGTTTGGTATATATTTTGACAAATAAATAAATAAATAAATACTGAGTATGCTTGGAAGTTTGGACAAGAGATTGAGTGGGAGATACCAAAAAGGCTTTGGTCATCAAAAGTTTATCCCATACAATCAAGCTAAGTTGATATATACTCTTGTGTATTGAATATAGCGCTCTATGGTAATTAATCTTTGAACCAGATACATGACATTATCTATATTCCTAGTATTACAGCCGTTTTCATAAATTCGGCAAAAAATTGACCGACCGGATATTTGCCGGTTCGATAAGTCGGTAATCAAAACTCAAATATTCGGTCGGTCAATTTTTGCTAGATGATAATTACAATGTTGAATAGAAATCCGATTTTAAGTAGGTATTTCGGTAGTTATGTTAAATTGATTATAAAAAACCGAACTTTGGCTATATGATTTGATCGGTGATATATTTTTTAAAGATATCTGTCTTATGTCATAACCAAGTCTTGAAAAAATAACATTACAACGCACGTACAATACATCAATCATTTGTAACGTTTTTAATTTTTTTAAACGAAACGATACTATTTTAAATAGATTCCCTTTTGTTGCCATTAATGTCTTCTCAGAGACACGAACCATTTCGTTATGAACTGGAAAAATATTCAAGATCATATTCCTCTACTTCTGCAACTTCAAATCAATGGACTCATATATCACGACCAAATGTTTTCGTTTTTCTTGAAAATATGTTTCCTGCAGGTGTCATTGTTGCGGGAGTTGGAGAACCTATGTTAAAAGTTATCGCTGATCAAAATACATTATTAGTACATATATTTTTTATTTTATTTTTTTTTGGTTTAAGATTTGATTGTTATATTAAATCAATATAATAATAATAAAATCAGGAATGTTTGAATGTTTCTTACCGACACGCGAATATTTTAAAAGCAAAAGCTTTATTGAGAAGCCCTACTATTGGAATAAGATACAATTATTCAATAATAGATAGAAGTGGAGTGGTAAAATATTTTTTTTTTCGTTTTTTTTTATAAATTGCTCGACAAAAAAAAAACAAAATAATAATAATAATAACATAAATAACAAATAACTACATGACAGACTACCACTCAGGAAACTCGCAAATTTCAGTTAAGATTTAAAACTAATGAAGATTTCGAATCTTGCGCCGGAATTATTGGGAGATATATTAGTTGTAAACCTATCCTCGGGAACGATTCGAATGTGCCATCATCTGCTAATAATAATGAATTAGGAATATCAAATCAAACCCAAATATTAAGTAAAGTTCAAACACCATTCAATAATGTCGGCATAATGCACCAACAAATGGCAAGGTCACAAAGAGAACAATCAGTGACACTGACTACGCGTCAAGAATCGAGTCACAAAGATTATAATATTCCTGATTCATCTTCACGATCTTCCACTTCATCAAATGATATGAATTCCTCTCAAAAGGTGGTTAATATTGTGAACACCGTTAAGACACATGACCATTCTTTTTCATTACCTAGTGATGATGAAGAGCTTCAAGCATGGATTATGAATATTTTAAAAGATCCAGAGTACCCACAATTTGTATGTATATAATATTATATATATATATATCATCATGATATTAATTATTTTATCGAATTAACAGGTATCAAGAGTGGAAAAATTATGGAAAACGCGATTAATGATATGAGACTTATGATAAACATGCTGTAATTTGTTCGGAAATATATTAAAGAGTAGCGTAGATTATTTTAATTCATTTGGCATAAATCATTTCTATCTGTATTTTTTTATTAGCATTTCAAACGAATACGCAATTATTTAATTGATGTGAAAAAATTTTCATAGATGTGAATTTAATCGATTAGAATCTGTACCTTTATCCAAGTAGTGACTGGACTCGTATCAATTCGTGACTCACGAATTAAACTCAGAAGAGTGCTCGAATTATTCGATTGAATTACTTATTCGAGTTTTATTCGATTAATTCGAGTTAAGGCAAATTAACTCATTGATAAATTTGCAATTGCAAGTTACATAATGATAAATTAATTTAAATAGTGAATTATACAAATCAAAATAAAATAATATAATAAATTCTTGCAGAAATATTTACTTTATTATTCGGTGAAATTTTTGAAAAATTTATATACTGCAATATAAGCTTTATATATCAAATTACAAGTTACAAAAGCAAATGTATTTCATTTAATTATTCATTAACTGGAAATATTGTATCTAGCAGATTCATATTTCTCTTTAAAAATAACATTTCATTTACCAATTCTGAGTCAAGGTTTGTGCATTTTGCTGTAATGTTGTTTCCAACATCTGAAAACAAGTGTTCAGATGAGACCAAGGTTGCTGATACACATAAATATTTTCAGGCAATTTGTGATAATATAGGAAATCAGTTTTTTTTAAATTTCTATCATTGAAAAGGATCTGTTCATTTTCTCTTCTCTTCCAAAGATAAATATTCATCAATTTCATTAATTGGATTATTAGCAGTATATAGATATGATAAAATTGATTTATGTTTTCTTTGAATTCTAATAATTTTAAAATTTTCTTCTTGAATATTAGACAAGAATGCTAAGTGTTGAGAAGCTATACTAACTCTATACTCTATTTCATATAATTGTTTCAAATATTCATTAGTTCTTTGAATAATACTTATGTTTGCAAAACATAGTTTTTTAAAATGTGGATCAAGCAAATATACAAGCATGCTAATGTCAGTAACTGATTATCAATATTTATACATACTATCATAAAGTATTTTTTTTGAATTTTTCAAGCATTTCAGTTGTAATTATTGGGATTGAAATGTCAATTTTTTTATGAATAATTCCTAATTTAGCATTAATTTCTTTAATTTTAATGAAATCTTTAATATTATTAATAATTTTTTTTATAGTATCAAGAATCATTAATTTATTTATATTCATTGAAACTAATTCAATATAAGATTATTAAAGAGATGATTTTAAAGTCTTAATCAATGCTGAGATTGCTGAATATATTAAAAAAATAGTTATATAAGTATTTTTTCTTAATAAAGTTATGATTTTTTCAAAACTACTTAAAATATCATTCAACTTATCCAAAAAAGTCCATTTATTATTAGTAAGTATAATATATATTAATTATTCACTATTCTTTTGAACAATTGCATTTTCATTTAATTGAAGCTAAGAAAAAATATATTATTATTTTTTTTAATTAAAACAATCTTTTTCAAATATAAAATAACAAATTTTATTATATAGAAATATTCCCAATCATTGATAAATTTTTTTGAAATCCAAAGTCTTTTTGCATAGTAATAAGATATTCAGTATATTTCAGTATATGATTAAAAAAATCTATTAATCTTTTTATATATAAAACTAATTGCTTAGCTATGTTTAATTCTCTTTCAACAGAAAATCAGTGCACATGTATTGTACTAGGAATTCTATTAAATTTTAACAATTGGATGTCTTTTTTTATATTTAACTTATTGTTAGTAATAATTTCTGTTATTTTACTATTTAAATCCTATTTCATTAAAGTCTTATTCAGCATTTCAGAAATAACTTCATCTATATAAGAGTATAAAACATGTTGCAAAAGAAGAAAAGCTTCTTTAAATTCTTAGAATTCAAAAATCTAAGAACATATAATTATAATATATCTCTGATAACAATAACTTGTTCAAAAATCCAATATTGTAAACATAGTAATATTTTTATTCTCTATTAAATTTGTTAGTTATTATTTACTTCAAGAAAATACTTTGCTAACTTTAGTTTTTATTATTTTATTATAAGGAATTGCAAAGTTTTTATCAAGTAAATATAATAATTTTTAAAAACTTTTATATTTAACAATATTAAATGTCTGCAAATCATCAATAATAAATGAAATTAAATTTTGTTATATCAATCCATATTTACTTTCAGTTCTAATAAATTGATTCATAATTATATTACTAGATCGATTAGCATTATTCTTAAATATCCTATACTTATAGGTAAATGGTTAATTAAATTTAAAGTTGTTAAACTATTTTTATATAAGATATTATATTCTTTTCCATTATCTAATATAATTTTACAAGTAAAAGTAATACTCTTCTTTCAAAAATAGTCCCAGACAAAAACTTTTAGTTTTATATTTGGACATATAGATAATTTTGTTTTGATTACTCTTTTCATTACAGAATTTATTTTGTTTATTAATGCTTTTGTTTTGCACATATTTGGATAAATGAATTTGTTTAAAAATTGTTTAAATCTCTTTATTTATATTAAAACTTACAATTGCAATTAATTATAAACATAATTTTTTTTTTTCAGTATTAAGATAACCTCTTTGGTTTAAGCTTTTTATTAATACTTATAGCAGGTACATGTTTTATATAAACATATCTATAATGAACTATTAGATGAGTGTACAACTGGCTATATGTATAACCTTTCTATATTACCTATTTAAGGAGTTCACCTGAGGGTTCTCCACCAGTTGCTGTACCTAACATCTCTGCTTAGATGTTCTATTTAAACCCTCTGATCTAACCCTAGTATTAATTTTACCAGATTACAGACCCAGATCTATTTGCATTCGACCATAGGACTATAATTCTTAGACTATTTTTATTCTCAAGGTAAACCTACCAGAGTGTGCTGTATTTTCTTTTTACTGCTAACCTGATTTGATACTATGGCCAAGACTAACACTTGCAGTCAGTATTACCCCTTAAACTGCTATTACCCTTGTAAAGTTTATCCAAACCCTAGTACCTATTTTTCTGACTTCTTCATCATCATCCTCTACTAGCCACAACTTAGAACTAACTGACTTCTCAGACTTCCAATCCAGATGGCTCAGTATGATATACTTATATATTCTTTTTCTCTGGCGATTCTGACAACCTGGTTGGTTATATGCTCCTATATACATTTTTGTTATCCGTTTTATCTAACAGTTCCTATGAAGATGTTTTATAGGCTTTCATCAGTTCAATAGCATCATCAAAGGTTTGTGCTATCTTTTTACTCGGGATTTTCAAGTGAGGTTCTGTTTCTTCAGTTTCTTAGCCTTCTACACTTGGTGGTTTTTTCATAGGTTTGCCTGAAGCCTTATATGATATTGGTTTTACATTCCTCTATGTACATGTACCATATAACATTACACTTTACATAAATGCTTCAAGCTCTCAATGTCAGGTGGGACCCGACTTGGTGTACCTAAGATTACAGATGCCCAAAACCCAACTGATTGGCAAAAGACAGTTATCATAATACAGGTATAATTTTCAAAATTCGTTATTTATGGAAATTGAATCTTAGACCTGCCACTTAAGGGTTGACAACCTATCCACTTTACTAAGTCGCCACACCCTATATTAACTCTATTTTGAGTAATGTATCATATAATAAAATTTAAGAAGCTTGGCATGTTGTTAGAATTGTGAGTTTTGGAAATATGTACTACATTATTTTACTTAAGAATGGTTCATTTTTATATACATGTACCTGGCCAGTTAGCTGTGAAATTGTATGCAGGCATTACTTTGCTGTTCTTATAAAATCAAATATGACCATTTTTCATATATTATTAATAATACAGTGATGATATAAAGATGCTTATTTTAATAAACTAGAAGATATATTCAATAATATTTCAGCAATTTAATTACATAATAATGCTCTTAATAGGCCTAATTCACTAAGCCAACTTAATCAAACTATATTAACCAACCAATTTGAATAATTATTTTTATACATAAAGCTTCAGAATTTAAAAAGCCTAATAAAAACTTTATTCAAGATTATATATATTATAGTAAAAGTTATAGATTATTACAAACTATTTTTACATTAGTAATAGAAACAAAAACTAAAAAAGAAGTAAATAAATAGTGTTATCAATTTATATAACAAAAAAAAAAGTTAATAAATACTATAGCTTCAAATTTAAATGATACTGCATTAAATCAAGAACAAGAAAATGATATCTATAGTATACTCACTAGTCAAATATAAGAAAATCAACCACTAATTAAAATGGCTGATTCAGCCTGAACTCGACTGTCGATTATTGGCTGATTTTATACTGAATGACAAGTCAAAATCAGTAGCTAATTAACAGTTGATTGCTAAAAATATTCAGTATAAATTTGGCTAATTAATTGACAGTTGAGTTCAGACCGAATCAGCTATTTTAATCAGTGGTCAAATAATATAATAAATCGACTTATAATCAGTAGTTGATTACTAATAACTTTCGGCTCAAATATGAAAATTCAACACCTGAATTCTGAGTGAATCTTAATTCATTTAGAATTTGGGTGTTAAATTTTAAAAGCAAAATTTATACTGAATATATATTACTATATATATAATTAAAACTGGTTTATTAAAAGCATTCGAAACTTGCTACTAATTATATATTTTTATTAGCAAAATAAAATAAAAAAATAGATACAAAATTTATATAAAAAAGATTTTTCCAAAAAAAGATTAAACCCTTCATTTCCTTTGTCGTTCCTCTATAGAATCAGGAGCCAGTCTTTTACTGATCCTTTTTTTATGCATCTGTGTATCTTTACTATCGTTACTATCTTCACTTTTATAGCCTCTTTTTTCACTGCTACTTTTCTCTTCTTCTTTTTCCTCTTCTTCCTCCTCTTCTT